CTATAGCAGGAAGATTCATGGAGACGAGTGTGACAACAAAGTCTCAGCAGATCACTGCACTGTAAGGTCACTCTGAGAAAGGTGGGTACCAGTCCCCAGGCCAGGCGCGCTCTCCAGTCGTGGTCCGGACAAGTAAAGCTTGATAGGGTTTGGTGACAGAGATGCGCTCCTTGAAATTGATGGCGCCGAAGGAATCTATGGTGACATCACAGTCTTCTAAGCTCTGGCCAAAGTATTCACATGGCAGTTCCATGGAAGGCTGCGTGTTTATGAAAAGAGGATGTTCCTTGAGCTTCAATATTTTTTGGTCCTTGTAATGGTAACTATCATAATGATGATGATGATGATGAAAGAAATAATAATAACAAAAATAGAAATAATAATAATAATAATGATAATAATAATAATAATAATAATAATAATAATAATAATGGGAGTTATAGACGAGATACCACCCTGGTACTCACCCGACAAGCCCAAGCCCGTGTATGAGTCAGAGAATGTTAAAACTTATTGGGATGTCCCTATATATGCTGATCAACAAGAGGTCAGATGCAATAGGGTGGATACACGCATTGTAAATCATATGTGCAAGAGAGTTGTGAAGCTGGAAATGAGCTGCCCGTGGGTTAACAATCGGACAGGAAAGGATGAAGAGAAGACACTGAAGTACGGACCCCTTCGCTGGGAACTAAGGCAGCAGTTCCCAGGCTACGAAGTGAAGAAATATAAAATCATAATGGATGCCCTTGGGGGGTGGTCACGGGAGCTGGATGTCATGATGCGTGAGCTGGTGGGAGGCAGAAGCACAGACGTACTGCGTAAGATGCAGAGGGCAGTGCTCTCGGGCACGTTTAATATTCCCCGGACTTTCATGGTGGCAGTTTGAGTTCCTGTTAGAAGGAGGACCGTGGACACAACGGAAAAGCTTTTTAAGATTAGTTAATGTACATTTTTTTTTTACTCCATGGCTCACAGGTTACGGTTTTCGCCCTGTGCTGCTTAATTAGAATGTAGCATTCAGTTGATTTCTCTGCGATTATAATTATTATTATTATTACTCATTATTAAAATTCAGGCCTGTACGGGATTCGAACCACTGACCTGCTCCCAGTTGGCTTGTTAGCTCTATTGGTAACAGGCCTGAATTTTTTCACGTCTGATTTTCACTATTGCTTAAATAGTGCTCTTTACCGCTAGGATCGTGCACAAATACGTTTCTATAACCGCAGTTCAGATATGTGAATTTCATTTATTCGTTGTGTTTGAATAATAATAATAATACAGTAAATACTTTGAAGAATTCAGGTTTAACATGTGATGGTGTGGTCTGATCGGACTCTACGCAATGCCTAACCTACGGTACTATCTACTGACTATGAATAGCTGGTTAAATAATGCAACTTAGATAGACTCCCCTCAACCGGTGTGAACTACTACTGGCACCATGCAAACGACTTATTCACGACATTAACATCACAAACGAACCGAACAGAACGACCCAACTTTATATACCAACGGATCGAAACCGACCAATCACGACCGCCTACGCCACTTGAGTCATCACAGCAAAACTGACCAATCAATTTATACGAACTGGACTCAGAACATTCAACATGACTTCCACTCAGGTTGTCGAAACGTCAGTCACCACTAATGACTACAGTCCTTCTCAGGACTACACTCATCAGGACGATCAGACTACACTTTGACAATAATAGTGTTAATAATAATGATAATGATAATAATAATTATAATAATAACAATAACAACAATAATAATAATGATATAACATTACCATCATATGGGACATGCCAGTCAATACCGACAGAACTATAACAGCGGACAAACCAGACATCGTCTTTAAAAATTCAGTGAATTCCACCAGAAGGTTAGCTCAATGGATAGAGCGCTGGACTTATGTGCGGGAGGTCGAGGGTTCGAGCCCCGGCCGGACCAACACTCAAGGTCTTAAAATAATTGAGAACAATATGCTGCCTTTCTATATCATCAAGAAATGGTTTAGATATTCTAGTCTTCTCGGATAGGGACGAATAAATGGAGGTCCCGTCTCCTGCAGGGTTAGGGGTAGGAGACGTTAATTTCCCACGCACGAGATTACTTTGTGATGGATGTCCTCCCCTGGGGTGGGATGGGTGGGTTGTTGTCTTGTGTTTCATACATGAGCCTCTTGCTCGGGCAATATGGGTAACCATGCCCCACGTAAAGACATTAAAAACTTTGATTACTGCAAACTGATTGATATGAATGTTCCATCAGATAGAAACATCGCTCTAAAAGAAATGGAAAGTACCAGAAACAGCTACTGTGGCAGAGATTAAAAAAGTCTACATGCTAAGATCCACGCGAATCCTCAGAAAGGTGCTTAGTGTATGAACAGAATGATTGACTTGAGTGACTGATGCCCTTAGTGCATGCTTTACGCTCGGCTGGTGCCCAAAAAGGACACCAGCAAAAATAATAATAGCAATATTGATAATAATAATAATAATAATACTAATAATAATAATAATAACAATATTAGTAATAATACAAATGATACGAATCTGACCCAGAGCCCCCTCGTTTTTCAGCTCGGCCGTTACCGTCGAGCCATTTAATTTTGTGAACCGAGTTACTAAATGAACGCCAGCAACAGGCAACCACTTACTGAGAGCCTGAAACAGACTAACTAGCTCCCATAATTGCAATTGCAGCAACACCCGAAAATTGATTGATTGTTATTACTGTTTTATAGCATTCCTCTGGTGAATGTCTTTCCAAATGACATTGGTGAAGATAACCCTAACTCTGACCCTAACCATAACCGAGCTTGGCGAGGTCATTCAGGGAAGCAAATCTCTGAAGGAAAGTAATATCCTTCCGTGGTCGATCACGTAAACTACAAACATTGCCCCGTCCCTATATAAATATATATATATATAAACTCTATGTGTAGCTGTAGCTTATCAGAGCCTCCAGTCCCCTTCCCCCTAGACTGCATTACCGCGACTCTTTTTTCCAGGTAGATTTGAAATTAGATTTAGCCTCTATAGCAGGAAGATTCATGGAGACGAGTGTGACAACAAAGTCTCAGCAAGGACCTAATCGATCATTTCTCGATCTTGGAGATTCGTAAGGAGGTCTGACATTAATGACAGTACAGCGATTTTTTTTATTCGGGAACCCTAACCAGAACTGAAATCGAAATCCCGCATCTAGTCACACTTGGGGATCCATACAACTAACGAAAAAAATGGCGTTCGGCGATAAAAGTTTGCAAACTACAATCTAGTTTTTTTTTTTGGCCAGTAAAAGAGCACTAAACTAGCTAAGTAACCTGATAGGTCTTTGCTTACGACCTATCGGTTTCCTTAGCAAGAATTTTGTCTCCTGTCACATGTAACTCCAGTTACACAGTGAAGAACTCAGAAGAATTTGCGTACATCATCAGTAAAGAGATCCATCCATACAGGCGAAGTAATGATATCCTTTGACATCGAGTCGCTATTCACCAACGGCCCTATAGAAGAAACAGTACAGGCTGCGTTACATAGACTCAACAACGATCGAGCCTACCAGACCGCACAGCGCTCACACCTACCCAGATTGGAGACGTTCTGAATTTCGTCTTGAGATCCACACACTTTAAGCACAACTGAGCCCTCTACGAGCAACAAGGAGCACTGATGGGCAGCCCGATTTCCGCTGTAATTGCCGATCTATAAATGGAAGCTTTCGAAGAACAAACCTTAGCTACCGCCCTAGAAACACCGAGAATATGGAAGCGCTATGTAGATGATACGTTCACCGACATAAAACAGCACAACGTCGATAATTTCCTGAGCCACCTCAACCAACAACATCCGTCTATCCGTTTCACCATGGAAACTGAGAATAACAACAAGATCGTCTTTCTCGATACCCTTGTAATAAGGGAACCAGACGGTTAACTATACACAAGTGTATACAGAAAGCTCACACACACAGACCAGTACCTCGCGTATGATTCGCACCATCAATAAGCAGTTAAACGTGGCATTGTCAAGTGTTTACATGATCCGGCTAAACGTATCATCACTAAGCCATCAGGAACAGCTCAGGAGAAGAAATGTCTATCTACAGTTCTCGTCGCCAACGGCTACCCTTTGTCCTTCTTACAGAAGGTGACCAAAACCAGGAATCCAACACCAAACTAAAAGAAAACAGCAGAATT